AGGGGTGTGAAATACAGTGTGGGGAATATAGTGGGTAATGTTGTAAAGACTATGTAGGATGTCAGATGGGGACTGGACTTATTGGGAGGGATCACTTCATATATTATATACTATTAATGCCTAACCACTACAATATACACCTGAAATTAATATAATATTGGATGTCAGCCATAATTAAGTGTGTGTGTGTGGTCATAGGATGTAAAGTGCAGCATAGGGAGTATAGTCAGTAGTATTGTAATACTATGTATGGTGTCAGATGGGTAATAGACTTGTTAAGGGTGTGTCTATTCTGTCTTTCAGGACCCTTTTGTTTCATTGATCTATTTGTCTATTCTTCACCAATATCACTGTATTCTAATTATTACAATTTTGTAATGTGTTTTGATGTGTAGTAGACAAATTTATCTCCAGATTCTTATTCAGAGTTATGTTGATGATTTTGTGCATAATTTTTCTCTCACGTGCAGTTAGCTTGTAAAATTTTATGAAAAGTTATTTTATAATTTCTAAGTGACACACAATATTTAATAAAATTAGCCCTTCAAAGTAGTTATAAGACTACTTTGGACTTATATGGACTGTTCAATGAATGATATTGGGAAGAGTAGCTATCAAAATATCAGATCCCTACTGTACTTCATTCATCCTTACATATATAAAATGTTATATATAGAGAGGAAATACTATAAAAGTAATAGAAGTTACAAGAGAATATGTTTATGACTTTGGAGTAGAGCAGTCCTTAAGTGAGACAAAAACTGTTAAATAATGAAAATTTATAACTTTGCATTTTAAAATAAACACTAAGTGAAGTTAAACAAAGAACACTGGGAGAACAAAATGTAGCATGTCTAACAAAGAAAAGATAAGTATCCAGAATATATAGAGAACTTCCACATATCAATAAGAATATTAAACCCACTGGAAAAATTCTTTGCCTGAGAAAGTGTATAATTTTAATTGAGATTGCATTAAATTACAGGTTAATGTAGAGAATTAACCTTGGAATATTGAGTTTGCTCATCCATGAAAATAATATATTTTTGGCCTTTTTATAGTCTGTAGTTTTTTCCTATAGTTTATATTTTGAAATATATCAAACATAAATACGAGAATAGAGTATAATATATCAAACACCTATAACCGTCATATTTTATGAGATCTTAACATTATGCCATATATGTCCTTCATATATCATTTTTAAATAATAAAACATTAAATGTGGAGATGAGGGCCCCCTAAATAGGTCTCCTAGATATTTTTCCCCCCTCTCTTTTCCTTCATTCCAAAGACACCATACTCTTGAATATGCTCAAGAAAAATCTTTATTTGATAAAATAGATATATGTCATTCTTACTTGCTATTGGTATTATATAAGTGTAGACATGACCGTGTTTTTATGTGTTTCGTGGTGAATATCCGTGGGTGGATTATGTTATATAGTTGAAGCGCTAATAGGATGATTTTTTTAAAAGTGCCTGTGATTTTGTGATTGTCTCATATTTACTTGCATATCTACCTGATAACAAATTTAATATCGTCATTTTAAAGTGTTTATCAAAATTAGACTTTTTTACTTACTGCCCATGTGTTTTCGGGATCAATTCCAAATTGACCATAGTTCTCTGAGAGATGCTGTGTTCAGCTTACATGTTAATGCGTAATGTCAGTTAGAGGGTGCAGAGTAATAAACATCCTACTGTTCAAAATGTGCAGTTTATTATGTTACTGTGTTTCAGTCTAGTTCACAACATACTGACAGCTCTTTCTTGCATCGATATTTGTGCAAGCTTTCTAGATCATCCTATATTTTCATGTATTTCAGTTCATATTTGAGAATAAAATGTGGATATTTTTAGTTTTCATCAGCTTTAGCTCTTACTTGGTTCTGTTTTAATTTCTCAGGTACTAATATAAGTGATGAGGATTTTCTTTTGCTGGAGCTTTTACACTGGTTTAAGGAAGAATTTTTTCAATGGGTGAATAACATTTTGTGCAGCAAATGTGGTGGTCAGACTAAGTCTAGAGGTGCATTATTTCCCAATGATGATGAGCGGAAGTGGGGTGCGAACAGAGTAGAAGATCATTATTGTGATGCATGCCAGTTCAGCAATCGATTCCCGAGGTGGGTATCCACTGGACAATAAAGTCAGAATAATATCTTAATGGAATGGGTAAAAGAGAATTTTTGTTAAATGAGCTTTTTGTCTTCATTTTAGTTATTAGAGATATATTCCTCTAGGATGGGTCAGCAAGCTAAGGCTGGCAGGCTAAATCCAGCCCATATCCTATTTTTGTAAATTAAGTTTTATTGGAATACACTCATGCTGAATGTATAGTCTATAACTTTTTACATTACAGTGGTAGAGTACTGGCAGCAGAGATCATATTGCCTACAAAGTCTGAAATATTTACTGTCTGTCTTTTCATGGGAAAAGTTTGTTGATTCTTGCTCTCAAATATAAATTGAGTGTAGTCCTAGCACGTTTAATGCTGTAAATCTTGTATTGTTCTTGTTTTAATGTATAAATTTTAACTTTCTGATAACTAATAATACTTTAGAGTGCATAAAAATAATACTAACAACATTAATAATAATACTAATAGTTGTAATAGTAAAGATAGTGCTACACTTAAAATAATCATCAGATGGTGATATGGAAGGTAAAAGTATAGTACCATCATATATATATGTATATATTTTTAAACTACAGAATTTTGTTTTAATTGGGCACCTTCCCTTGCCCAACCTGACCTACTCTCATATCTCTAGATTTTAAACTAAGGAAATTTGAAGTTTTCAATTAATTGTTTCCATCCTTTAATTTACAAGCCTCTTCCAATTTTCTTAATTGGCAATATTTGTAAAGTTTACTTGTATCATCGGACAAGAAGAGATAGCAAGTTTTTTAAATACCCTAACTGAGGGCTTAGGGACTCAGTTCTGTCCCAACTAGTAACCATCCCTATGATATACAGAATATGGCATAAACAGAATCCAATATCCAGTAATTATCTAAAATATGCACAATTTATTTCTCCATTCAGCATACATTTGCACAGGCACTGTGCAAAGATTTGAAAATATAAGATGTAAGTAATTAAACCGCTCTCCTCATAGATTCTTTCTAGGCAGCTGGATGTAAAGTCATAATGCAGTGTGGAGGGGCACAGGCTAACAAAGATATTTATACAAAGGGTTATTCTTTTCCCTTCTAAACATTTGCTTGTTTTACTGTTAGCTATTCTCTGTATAGGGTTGGTATGATGGACACTGTCAATTAGAGGCTACACTGGTCATTCAACTTGGCATACCTAGTATACAAAAGATGAAGGCATAGGATGCTCTAATTCTGTTCTACTTCTTAATGTAAATTTATAACTTTTTTCAATTACCTAAATTATAAATTCATTTAATTTGACTTCATAAATTTTATAAATGTCTAGCAACTATGCTGTATACCTGAAACTCATATAAAATAATATTGAATGTTAA